AAGAGTCTGCAAATATAAGACAAGAGTCTGCAAATCCAAGACAAGGCCCTAGTTCTTCAGTTTGATGTCTGCAGGCCTACATGGCATAAATGAATGTATATTTATTGCAGAGGCTCCAGTCCATGACACTGAAACATTTGTCAGTTTATCACTAAGCTTTCGAGATGAAAAAATGCAGAGGAACAAAAATATTAAGAAACCACCATACCTCCCACACATTCAGAGGATGAGTCATTAAGAGGCCAATTCTGCAAAGGGCTCCACACTCCTCTGGAGCTCTCACAGGAAAAATTAAGCAATGACGTAAAACAAGAAAAAGTACCCTTTGCAACTGTCCCACCACCAACTGCTAGGAGTTACTTGTTAATGATCACCTCTTTCTTTCCTCAGCCCACATATGGGGGTTCAGATGTCAGTAGGAGAACAAGTGACATAGGAATTTACCCCTGTCCACCTTTTTGATCATTCTTCCCAGCAACTGAAGGATGGAAATCAAGGGGGAGTGTCGGGAGAGCCAGGCTCTTTTCGGTGATGTCCAATGACAGGACAAGGGGTAATGGCTACAAGCTGGAACTTAGAAGGTTCCACTAAAATATTAGGAAAAACTTTTTAACTATGAGGGTTCACGAGAACTGGCACAGGCTGCCCAGGGAGGTTGTGGAGTCTCCTTCGCTGAAGACATTCAAAACCCTCCTGGACGCGTTCCTGTGTGACCTACTGTAGGTGATCCTGCTCAGGCAGGGGGGCTGGACTAGATGATCTTTCAAGGTCCCTTCCAACCCCTGACATTCTGTGATTCTGTGATTCTGTGATTCTGTGAAGTGGACAAATAACTGGGAAGATTACTGGCATCTGTTGTCAGCTTTCCATGCAGTAGCTGAACTACAACCTATCGAGGATGGCTGATGGGTTTTTGCTGCCTTGGGAAGGGCAATCATGATCATGTCAGGCAAGGGCCTAGTTGTACTAAATAAATATGCACCATGCAAACCACTTAGACCATTCCTGTGACGTGATGCAGAAATCATACCCTTATGCTACAGTAAGCAGGCGGGAGGCAAACCTGTATGTTTATTAGTCGGTGCTATTTGAATTCTCATCAGCTTGGCTTGCAAGAACAAGACTCTGCAGATGTAATCTACAGATATTCATTCATACTGGGATATTTTAACACCACCTCATAATCTTCAAGTTTATTTCCTCTCAGTTTGAGGTCGAAGGGGTCAAGAATGAGATGCATATTTGTCTTCAGGAGGTGGAAGGCTGAAATCATTGATAATCTAAGTAGAAGATTTCTAGAGAATAACAGCAAATAATGCCACAAATACTTAAGAGGACAAGTGAGGAATAATTTTAAGTATTTCTTTTCACAAGCCTCACACCAAAAAAACTACCACTTCTTTTAAAGCAAGATTTGTGACTTACAGGAAATCATAGTCAATGGTTGTTTATTGGTCTTAAGAAATATCAATGAAATGGGCAGGAAATTCATGCTTCACAATATTTCACTTCTTTGTGGCCAAATTTTCTGGGTTGTTTTTTTCTTTTACCTTTATATGTGGTCATTAATCTATGGTAATGCATTAATAAGGTGTGGGTTGGGGTTTTTTTTGTTTATTTGTTTGTTTAAAGAGTATGGCATTCGTGTCCTATTAAAAAAAAGTTTGACTAAAGCATTACGCAAAAGGCTTTAATAATTTAAATACTTGTCCAGCCATATGGAAATGTATAATATGTTTTATGTTCTGTGGGAAACCTACAGTTGCTATAAACTTAATGAATTTTAAAACCTCCCATCTATTACTTAATACAACAATTTGCTAAAGTAATAATAACTCTCATTCTGTTACAATTTGCCATACTAGAGATGCTTAGAGGTGCATCAGGAATATAAAACTCTAATAGTGATCAAAAAATCCTCTACAGTTCAGGAGAATGCAGCGCTGGAGTTTAGTCCCACTGTCTCGGAAAATACTATCACTTCATTTGTATGTGAGGAAATGTCATCATAAATTACACAGAACAGAAGACATAGCATAATAGTTGGTTCGTTAGTATTTTTTCATGTAATGCTTTATAAAAGAGATAAAGCTGAAGAAAATAAAAACAGACATGTAAATATTACGATGAAGTACCCTGTTCTTATGTAAATAATTTTTCTTGAATAGTATCTTCTTAAAAGGTGAAAATTAAATACTAGTATTTGTCTGACTGTATAAAAGTGATAGTAATAATTATAAAGAACCAAATGGTCTTATGCCTATTTCATCCTATTCTTATGACTTCACAGCAAAAATATTAAAATTTGCAATATTACCAAAAAGATGCAAACCTGTCAAATATATTACTCTGAAGTAAATTAACAATTAATTTATAGGAACCTACCATAGGAACTATTAAGTGGACAGTAGTAATTGCTTTCTATATAAAATCTATCAAAATTGTTGGAGAAAATATACGAAGCGTAGCTGATAGCTGATGAAATCTGCAATATGGCCACAGAGAAATAAGTTGCAGATCATCAAAGTTAGCTCTTGTGCAGAAACATCCACCATGAGTTCATTAATTTCATTTTTTTACCGGAGAACGGCAGGAGGTTTCCGTAATGCAACCATCATAGGAAATTGATTCAACGCTGTACTTAGGCTTTACCCGTAGTTGGAATTTACAACAGTTTTTATTTTTTGGTGCTCTGATCTCTCTTGCTTTCCAGAAGGCTACGTAAATAGAAGAATCTTCAGCACAACAACAGCTCTCTCTAAAGCACTGGCAACTGGTCTTAGTAGAAGACTGTTAAGAAAAACAAAGGAACAAAGAGATTTAGCTGGACTGGTAAAGCAATATAGGTAAAGCAATTCAGTAACGCTCTATACATAAACCAGAGAACTAGGTTGTCATTAGAAGCAGAGAGGTTTGTAGTCTATGCCCTGCAGACACACATGCACATGAACTCGTGGAGCTCAGAGGACCCTTTGCGGATTCGAAGGCACTCATCTACGTAAATCGTTTTGAGCCTGAGTCAGCAGCCAAGCCCTGATTTTGCACCAGTGAAGGCAAAGTACACTTCCAACTACTCTGAACTGCAAAAAATGTCAAGTGATTGATTCTACCCAACTTCAGGCATTTAACTAAAGCACCTAGACAAGGACCTAATTAACCCAGGCTCTGTTCACCAACAACAGATGGAAAGCTGCAACCTCAAGAAGGTGCTTCAGTCCAGCCCAGGTCAAGGGTGATGGTGATATCTCAGCTAGTTTACTGAAATTACATGGGATGAGCAGCTGAAGATCTCCCTGTATATGAGTGCTCCTAGCAAAGTCCATGGAGCTTTAACCATTGATATGATTAAAGGTAATTAGTAAATGTATGTTCTGCTCTACTAGGCCTGCATCCAGCACTGGGACTAACCAGAACTGTTTCTGGTCCTTCACCTAGATTAGGAAAGGGTTCTCCTTCCTGTGGAAATTGTTGACAGCTTTATGATTTCCTCCTTCCCATTGGCTAATCATCAAAGCACTTCCTTTTCAAAATTTATTAATGCTTATTTAGTTCAAATTCTGAATGGAAACTTAGCTTCTTTTATTTTTCTTCAGATATAAATTTGTAAAGGATTTTAGCTAGTTGAAACTCTTAAGTCAATAATAAGGCCTATGATTTTTCACTGCCTTGTTCTGTGAAGCCCACACCGATTGTCCCACAGCAAGACAAAAGCTCCAAGACGTTACCAAGTGGGTGCCTCACTTCAGTCCTTAAGATCAACCCCAAAAGGGAGAAGATGTTTTCTAACTGCAAACTACTCATTCCTGGGAAACGCTTTGTCTCTGCAGGTGCTGGTCTATGCACTGCTGGTGCACCCCACCTCTCATGGGAGGTCTTAGTAGGATTAGCTGTTGTGTGAAGATGAATATAAAGACATCTGATTTTTATTCATTCCCAAATGGAGTAATACAAAATCTCCTCAATTCTCACCAAGAAGGTGACTTTACCCACTTTATAATTTGTGTCTGCACCACTCAAAACTGGCCCCTGGTCCAGCTTCCAGAAGTTATGCTACAGCTGGAGAAGGAACTGGAGGATTCTCAGACCACCCGAGAGCAGCACAGGGAATTTGTTTCTGTCAACAAACACATGTCAAACACGTGACATTAATTAATACATACTGTACCTCCAGCTTTTTGCATCTTGATGTGTTTATTTCCTTCTAATCTTAATTAGAAAAAAAGATAAAGATGGTTAAAACATTGTAACATATCACTAGTTTAGAATACTGTTTAAAAAAAACATGCAGCAAAGGTACTACTGTTCCAAAACCAGCTACTATTGTTTTGGTTAGCAGTGTTATTTTTCTCCATTTTTTACGTTTCGCAGCAAATTTTGGAACCACCAGCCAGTGACTAAACTGTGCTGTACATATGTGACATCAGCATTTTGTTGTATTAAATCTAAACAATATTACATGATTTCATAATATGTTTATGACTTGTCTATTAAGTACCTATAAACTTAATGCTTTTTCTCGCTGTTTGAAAATACCACATGGAAAAGAAACAGTTTCCACTGGGTTTCATATAAGAACAGAAATAAACCTGAAGGCAAGCACTTACTAACTGTTATTACTGGAATTCACCACAATGCAAGTAAACACCTTCAGAACTAAAAATAGCACTCAGGCTCTGCAAGTGCATCTATCACAGCCTCTTAGTCCTAACAGGGTTTTGTTTTCTTTGAATTCACAGAGCACTCAAAGTGTGGAGAAGCTGTTCAGAAGACAATGTACCACACTGTCAGCATCCACTCTAGGATCCTTCTGCAAAAGTGTGTTAAAATTTAAATAAATGGGAACAATCGCTTTAACTATTATAAATAGCCCCACTGCCTTAAGAAGCTCCAAGGCTAGACAGTCTGTCTGAAATAATAATTGATTTTTAAAGGAAATACACCCTGGCAGATAGAATTAAACCGAGAAAGCGGGAGAATTGCCACATTCAACCTTCCGGTACCTTTTGGTGCAGCTTTCGTCTGACTGGAAACCATAGGAGCCGCGTCCGACGGCAAGCCAACGTACACCCCACCATAGTTCCTGATTTAAAGAAACAATTAGAGACATCAGAGCTTAATGTAGCACTTCTCCCCACAGAGGGACAATCAAGCAGCAGCATTACGAAGATGGTGGATGGTCAGAGAGGAAGGCACCCCTGCATGAGCTTCAGCAGAGAAGCCCGCCTTTCCCAAGGCTGTGGGAAAAGTGCATATCAAGTGCCACGTGCTTGCTAACACAGTGACAGGCAAAAAATACCTTGAGGTTAGCTGCTACTCTTAAGTGGGACCCAAGCCTGTGAAAGGAGCTGTATTTCAATCATGTTCCTAATGTTTTTCATTAAATCCAGCTGCCTTGTGACAATAAAGCCCACCTGCCCACGTTCTTCTAGACAATGAATATATCCAACTGAGGACAGTCAGTCTGATGGTAATGTTTGATGCTGGGACTACCGAAAAATCATAGAGTCATAGAATTGTCAGGGTTGGAAGGGACCTTAAAGATCATCTAGTTCCAACACCCTGCCATAGGCAGGGACATCCCCCACTAGATCAGGCTGCCCAGAGCCCCATCCAGCCTGGTCTTAAAAACTTCCAGGGAAAGGGCTTCCACCACCTCTCTGGGCAACCTGTTCCAGAACCTCACTTAAAACAACATACACCAATTAAAGAGCACTGTGACCTTTACTCAGTACTAAACAGGACCTGCATCCCCCTGCTTAGGGCCACACTTGGTGAAAATTGTTAGTAGGAAGAAGTAGGAGGGTGTTAGGTACTTTAATAGCCCAACCCTCTCCCCTTCATGGCCTTGTGGAGCCCAATTTCTGGCTCCAAGGCATGTATGAAAAGCAGGAACTGGTGCAAAGAGGTGAAAAACTGGGTTCTTAAGAGCCTCTGCCATGCCTGGAGCTATTTGCAGAGACTCTCATTATGCTGTTCTGCCCCGTTAGGTGCCAAATTAATGACACCTCCTCCAGCCCCTGGGGCTCTGAGTCGATTTCTGATTTGTTTGATGAGAGAGTCATACTTTCTTCAATTTCCAGCCCAGCAGAGATCTCCCACAAGGGCTAATGCCATCTTCTGTAGTGGGGCTGCTGTGAAGGCAGAGGTCACTGGCCCTTACCGAGCACATCACCCACAGCTGTGCGATGACATGCTCTCCTTGCTGCAAAGTTGCCCCCTCTCCAACTCACTAACGGGGTGGAGGAGACTCATCAATACTAGGCACTGTGTGAGACTTCCTCCTCTCTTTTCTCTTCTTTTTTTCTCTGCTTTGGTGGTGTTGGTAGGAATTCGGAGGGAAGGAAGGTTGTACATCTGGCAGCAGCACTCACTGCGGCCTATTTCAAATAAAGCCGGTCCTGGTAGAGCACCTACCTCCTTTTGTCATCATCTGATACAGATTCTTCTGCTCTGTAATATCAAAAATACAAAGCACATTAGCAGATTGTTTCTTTCAGATACTCCATGACCATCTAGGTAGACTGAACAGCAAGAGAAAAAGGGGATTATTACTGATCCAGGTTTAATTCAGGTAATCCACAAATCAATAAAGTACTCATACAGTCATGAAAAGAGTGACAATTTTCCAATCCAATGCACAGAAGAAAGAAAAAGATTGAGAATAGATGCAGCCTACTTTTCATGACCTCTGCCAGTGATGCTTGAAAGTAGATAGGCAAGCTGAAATGGGTAAATTAACAATTTTCCTGAGTGTGTCTCCACACATAACAGGAACATAAATGATCTGTGCATAACAGGAATGAGTCTGGGCTTTATTCCACCAAAGGAAGAGTGGAAGGGACTGTGCATCCATTCTGGCATGGCAATGAGGATGAAGAAAGATAAACCTTCAGAGCAGCTATGCCAAAAGCTGAGCCTCTCCATAAGACAAGGTACTGCAATTCCTGAAGTCAGAGTTGTTTGCAAACCAAATAGCTGTTACTAATTCTTCATAAATGAGCAATTACTTCTCTTTTACCTTCAAAGTAAATCACAGGCCAGTCACAGGTAGTCACTGATGTTTGGCTACCCCCTCGAGATACTGTCCAGTGTAGATGAACCAGAGCAGGAGGTAAAGTAATCGGTATCAATGTGAAGGCAAAAGTAGTATGGAAAATATAAAAACTTTATTCTTACTCCCTGAGGGTATAGTGCCTGTGCTGCAGTCTCAGTATGTGCCCCAACATCAGTCTCCACACAAATCACTCATCCACCTCTGATTAAATATTTGGACTTTAAGCTCTATTTGCATGTCTGGGTATGGACCAGGGCAGCAACTGCACTTCAGCTTGGCCTGTAACCTACAAATCTAGCAATAAAAATAGAGGCAAGATAACTTGAGTGCAGTTAAATCCACAGGCTTGTTTGCCCCTACTGCTAGGGGCAAACTTCTCAAGGAGCCCTGCATTGCAGCTGCTTAGGGAGCTAGGAGACACAGCCACAGCTGTGCCTGGGGAATGCCACCAACAGCAAAAGGGGCACCACAACCCAAGGAGGGCTCTGCTGTAGAAATTCTCATGAACAGGCTATTCACCCAATGTCCTCATGTGAATATTCCCATTGAAGGACCAACTTCCTGGACTATGGGGACAATGCAAAGACACTCCCCTTTATGAGGACAAGAGGAAACGGCCAGGGGAGGTTTGGATTGGACATTAAGCAAAAACGTTTTCACAGAAAGGGTTGTTAAGCACTGGAACAGCCTGTCCAGGGCAGTGGTGGAGTCATCATCCCTGGAGGTATTTAAAAGACGTGTAGCTGTGGTGCTCAGAGACATGGTTTAGTGGTGGACCTGACATCACTAGGTTAATGGTTAGACTTGATGGTCTTAAAGGCCTTTGAAACCAAAGTGATTCTACGATTCTATGAGCTGATCCATGAATTTCTGATCCGCTCCCCAGGCAACAAAACTGAGAGCTGGCCTTTACTCAGCATTAGGGCTAAATCCATACTGTAGTCTTGAAAGGCATTTCTGAACTATGATCTTTAACAATAATATATGACATTTCTAATTGTAATTTATTTATTCTAAAAGGTAGACATGCCTACTGTTTAATCATCAGGGCTGTATGCCATTACTGACCCCCGAAGCCAATGGGATTTTGGTCTGAAGTGCAGAGATACAGCCTTAAAGGCAAGAAAAGCCCCTTAAAGCTCAGTCAGCACTCTCCTGGGAGGGTAGCAAATGCCTTAAAAATACTGCTACAAGTCAGAAATTATCTTACACTTATGTTCTTTCTAAGTGGCAGAACGTTACCAACTATCCTTTTCACGTCACCACAGTGAATAAGGGTTAACAGGTCCTTTTAATTGTAGAGGTCTGGGGTAAATCTAAGTATGCTGCAGTTTTGCTAAATGCTATTTACATGGGGCATAGCACTGAGTGAGTGGGGTAAGGCTCCTCGTCTGCTGTCTTTGACCACGTCTTGCCACTCAAAAAAGACTGAGCAATGAACTCCTCATTCTCCGGCTCTCCTGCCACTCCTCACTTTTGGAGCTAGTGCATCTCCCATCTCCTCTGACCCCACGTAACCTAAGTGACCCTGCAGTCCTCATGCACACAGCTAGAAAAATGCAGAGACAACTCCCCTTGAGGACTGTGAAGCTAACGTGGGCCAGTTCCAGCTGAAGAATATGCAAAGCCTGTATCAGTGGGTGGAAACATGCCTTGTATTTTTAGCAAAAAATATGACAAGACTTTGAGAAAGGGACTTTGGGTACCAAAAGACTACAAACAATCATTTCTGTTGAACCAACTGAATGTGCCACAGGATTGATTTTCTCATACCACTGAAAACATTTTCTATAATCCAGGTCAACCGTTATCCACAGAAAAGAATCCTCTAAAAGCACTGGCAACTTCATGCACAGCTGAAAGCCTCTAAAATGGAGTTGTAAGAATAATAATCAATATTGTCCAACAGGAAATTAATGTCAATGTTTGAAAAAGAAGACTCTATTAAGCAACAAGGTTATTTTCTTCTGTTATAGAAATGTTTCGTAATGGGACATCACTGGACCATTACTGTCATTCTCTCACCAAAACAAATTATCCAGGTCTATGATTAAGCAGACCATTTTTTTCTTCAACATTTTGCTTTCTTCCTTTCCTCTTAGTAGCTAGAAACTGAAGTCTAATTTTGCAATACCTTTTCCCTTAAATGTGCAACAGCAAATATGATCGGGGATTGTAGAGGACTCAGCTCTTGGGCTGGGTGATGACTGGGTGCAATCTGGCTAGTCCTGCTGGGGAAGAGGAGGTGAATAGAGAGAGGAGAAATGTAGAAGCATGAGTGGGAGAAGAAGAAAAATCCTGGTGACGCTTAAGGAAGAAGCCATTTTCCACCCCTTTCTGGGGACTCCTTTCTAAGCAACATGGGAAGGAGTGCTGCTCTAGCTTATGCATGACACACATTCACACACCTCTTGCCTTCACACATTGTAGCTTATGGCCTCATTTTGACAGGTGCCCACTGATTTCACGTTCTAATTCCCAGATGTCTGCTGACCCATTGTGGCAGGTGCTGCTTCTGTGCCTGGGATGAACATGGGTGGCTCTCGGGAGCAGAGCTACAACAGCAGCACTCGACTGTGTGGAAATGAGAATGGAAAGAACCTCCTTTGGTTTTGGCAGTGTTCCCATTGCCACATCTCCCAGATTCACAGAGAGGGTATGGGGACACAGGAGTCCAGCACATCCCTTCTCTTCCTCTCTCTACCTCCAATATGTCAGGGATGAAGGAAAAACCCAGCAGAAAAAATATCTTTAAACCTCTCCATTTACAGAGTCCTCCAGGAAAAGTAAGCTAGGATAAGCCTTTCTGCACCAGGAATATGTGGTAAAAGGAACTTAGCAGTCCAACATACTTTGGGCTGATCTGCTGCCCTGTCGCTGCATCTTCCCTCAGATGTTGTTGACATCTACTGCAGAGGAACTGAGAGCACGTTTTTCAGCAGGTACCGTAGGTGGAGTCCTATAGCAGGTATGCAGATTTAACAGCAAATCCACATAACAGCATTCTATTTTCAGCTAGAGTAAATGTTTCTTTCGGTTAGGATTTATCTATCCCAAGAGGCTTCCTGTCACTCTCCTAAGTCTGTAAAATATGCTTGGTTCAATTGTCAGTTTTTACACCCATCAGTCCTATGTCCATTTGATGATAAAAGAACCTGCCATTTTCCACATAAGATTTTAAATATCAAATGACATGCATTCACACTAATTCACACTAATTTCTTACCTCAGCTTTTGTGACTCTGTTCATGCCAAGCACTGCATAGACTCTTTCCAGCCATGCTCGATGGTGGCACTAGAAACGATTCACTAAACTTTGCACAAGTGACAGACTGCTTCTCCTCAGTTTCTCAGCATTTCTTGGGAACTGTCATTTGTATTGGATGGATTTCTTCCCAGTATTTTGAAACAGGCTTGAACTGCTGCATCCTTTCTTTCCTACTGTTACTAACCACAGAATGTCAGGGGTTGGAAGGGACCTCAAAAGATCATCTAGCCAACCCCCCTGCCAGAGCAGGATCCCCTACAGCAGGTCGCACAGGAACACGTCCAGGAGGGTTCTGAATGTCTCCAGAGAAGGAGCCTCCACAACCTCCCTGGGCAGCCTGTGCCAGTGCTCTGGCACCCTCACAGTGAAAAAGTTTTTCCTAAAGTTTTTGTGGAACCTCCTATGCTCCAGCTTGTATCTGTTGCCCCTTGTCCTATCATTGGACATCCTCCTCTGAGCTTAGGCACATTCTGAACATCACAGGCACTGCACTGTTTTCTAGCACATATTTTACACCTGTATCCAAGCTTTTCCAGTTAGCAGTGACATACTTTATTAGTGGGGCTGGAGTTTTGGCTGAAGCTAGTCGACAGATTCAGCACTGATTTGAGAGCTGGGGGTACGCAAGGAGACATCACGTTCCCAGACCATTGCAGACCATTCCATCCTTCTTGGCATGGCACAGCCCTGCCTCACAGCACTTTGTGTAGGAAGAGCATATCATCATCCTTATCTTACTGGTGGAGAAACTCAAGGCCCAGAGGGCAAAGTAACTTTCCTGCAGTCACCCAGGAAGGCTCAGAGCATGTTCCAGCCCTCCCTCCTTCTGCCTGACTGCTCACTCCAGGAGATGCTCATGCAAAGAATCACAGTCAAGAAATGAGAAATCTCCTGAGTTAGAATAACCAATTCTGTATCAAAAAAGTATGCTGTACGTATAAATGCTTTTATGGACCAGAATCAATATGACTGAAATATGACATCAAAAAATATGTGGGTTTTTTTTAAAGGGAGTTGTTTGAACTTTAGATGATAAATGTGAAAAGGTGTAAACCAAAAGCTTGTGTGGATCTATAATGTTAGTTAATATAAATCTGTTTTGTTCATTTCCATGAAACTAAAATATTTTTTTCTGGTATTTTACTTGCTTAACAAAAATCTGCTGTTAAATATTAGGATGATTGGCTTAAGACTTTTGGGTCATCAGTGCCATTCCTCATTAACAGATCTGTGTTTCTAATGTCTGACGAGAAGGCTCAACCATGATATTACTCACATAGGTTGTTTGGTTTGCTCCACTATACTTACCTGAATGAGTAATGGTTCCAGGATTGACTCTTTCACTTTGTTGAAGTCTGCACTGGTAATTTGTTCCTTCTAAGTTATCCTGATACTTTTTTGAAATATGACAGATGATTTAACACTAATAAGTAGGATGCTCACAGTTTAAAGCCTGGCCCTACAAATGCTTACACACACAGAAACACAGTTCTACCTATACCCATTCTTTTAAGCACAGAAGCATGCCTAGTAAATTCATAATTTAAGAGCGCTTGCAGTTTTGAAATTTAAAATTACTGAAACACAAAGAGAGAGATGCAGTTCTAAGTCAGTCACTTAAATTCTCTAAATTGAACAACAAATACCAGCCCTAATGTAATTAAAAACCATGGGTTTGTATATGTAGAAGTGCTGAGGGCATGGATGCTGCAGGGTGTAACAAGAAGACATTCCTCCTAAGCTTGCCTTCTGTAATTTATTTATTGTCTTACACTGCAAACCCAGAAGGTAACACAGATCTCAAGAGTATCTGTGACAAGTGTTCATTTGCCAAGCGAGACCTGTCGTTAGTTCTCAGCCGTGCTCTGTAATAGCAAGGATAAGCCTGTTGTTATGCTCTCCTCTCCACTTGTTTATCTGACTTGACAGCCCTCATTTCTGCACCAGGATTCCTCCATCTAATTAGAGTCCTTATTCTAAATGAAGTAAATGAAACTGAAGAATGTTCCTATTGCACAACTTTAAAATCTTTCCCAGGTCCCTCATCTCCAACTCCAGTGGCAAATATCAATTACATGAAATAGAAGAAGGAAAGACCTCAGGAGGACCTCTTTAATGTTTCCTTTGAAAGGAAAATTAATTTATGGCTACATAAAGCTGTTCCTGCACATTTCTGCATCAGCAAATGAAAAATGGGCCAAGAAAGGCTAATCTTTCGCTGCTGCTTTTCTGAAAACCAGAAGTTGGCAAGAGGTAACAGGACAATAGAGGTTAAGACCTTCCACATTTAGAGAAAAACAGGATGGGTAGGGCTGCCCTCTGCTACTCAGCATGAAAGATAAGGGAGAGAAAAAGTAGCCAATAGATACCATCTTCAATTCAGAGAACATCTAGAGAAGGTGGGTGCTTTGAAAAGGAAGTCTGGATGCATTAATGGGTCCCCTGCAAAGAGAGAAATTTATCTCAGTGGCTCTTTAAATCTCTCACAAAGCTTGGAGGAAATTTATGTGGTCGTTTCATACGACCTTTGGAAAAAGGTGACAGGGAAGAGTAGTCCGAAGTAACATGACCACCTCTGGGAGACAACTCTCTCAACAAAAGGAAAAAAAACCCACATTTCTGTTAGAGAAATAACAAGAGAAGGAATCTGTAGAAAAGCAAATAAGATACGAAGTTGTTTTGTAGAGATGGAAGCTGTCACTAAAGACAATAAACATCTGATGGTGATGATTATATGTTAGAAGCCAGATGAATCACGTATGACTAAATTTAGTATAAGGCTAGTAGGACTGAAGGAAGTCCAGGGTTACATATTTGAAAAAGAAAAGTAAGTACTTACACATCTTTAGTAGTCCCTGTGGCACCTAGAATGAAAAAAAAGTCATCATGTTTACAATATAATGGCATAATCCTCTAAATCAACTGACAGTACGGTAAGCATTTTTCTGCCTTTCTGTCCCAAACAGCATATAAATAGCAACCGGGATTTTCTGTTGTCAGAGAACAGGTTTCTCACGATTACCTAGTTTATCATTAATGATTATGACCCCTTCAATCTATCACGCTTAAATCTGGGCCAGATTCTCAGTGGATGAAAATGATGCTGCTGTGGGCCATTGCCCAGGTGCGGTCACTGAGGATGAGAGCAACATAAGATAAAAATCATCCTTCTGAATTTTATATGCTTCACTTTGCTCAGTCTTCTGGTGGTTTTCTCTGTTACAAAGTCACTGCAACTAAGGAAGCAGTTACTCCTGAATGCCTGTGCATTTTGCTGTTTGAGTCACTTGTAGACTCAGCACTACAGGTGTAAAACACTGTTTCGTTCTTCCTGCCAGACAAACAAAGTTTTATAAAAGAACCAGACAGAACTAATATAAACTTTGGGACACAATTCATCCAAAGCCCTAAACTTCTTAAGAGATCAACCACCCTTTAATTCATCAACCATCCTTTAATTCATCTTGCTATTTAACAAAAAAAAGCAAAAAGACAAAAGTTACCGCCTGGCCGCTTGATCTCAGTGATTGATTTTTTTTTTGGTGACTCAGATGCTTCTTGCTGAGAGAGGAACATTCACTCAAGTACAAACCTTTTGCTGTTCCTCCCAAGTTATTATTGCCATGTTGCTATTGCTGGTATATCACTCAGCTGAGTAACCAGCAAATTATCCCTTCTATTAATTACACAAGCTAGAGTAGACATTAGAAAACCTTTCACTTCTTTTTCTCTTCCTCTCAATACTTGGCTGCAAGAGATTATCTGAGCTCATTCTGAAGAAACTGCAGCTGTCAATCCAAAAGATTTCATGGGTTTGGAGGTAGATTGGTTTTTTTCCAGCCATGGCACTTCATTTCTTGCAAGACTTTATTTTTGCTGATGAAAAATATCAATAAATAGCAAATATCTTTGTCTCACTCTGACATACAAGAATATGCCTTCTGCATCCTTATTTTAAATGCAGAGAGGAAGAAAAAGTCCCGCAAGGCCTTCCAGCACCGTCTACCTGAATGGATGGCAGGAAACACCTCCCTTTACAGCTAACTCTTGAACATAATATCACTCCTAATTCCTCTGACTTGGCTTTGGTTTCAGCGGTGTTTTTTACTTCCCATATTCACTTCCAAAAGTGAAATAAGAGTTTGGTCCAAATTCACTTGAGTACCACTAAAGGACCTGAATATAGATCTGAAAGTATTTCCAGTTAACAAAGCAGTTTTCTTCCTGGAAAGGTTCTGAGTTTGCAAATGTACATCACTTTAGATAGGTGGCCCATAAGTATCTCTATGTAAAAACTCAGAAGATTTTCTTCATTAGGGAGCCTGAACACTCCTTATATGTAGATTTTATTTCACCAGGAACTCGGTAACACCTCAGTTTGTACAGATATGTTTGTTTTTAAAGTCCAGTCCATTCATCCTCACTCCCATTATTTGACTGACATATTTCTCTAACTCTTCCATGTTTAGCAAGTGACACATTATTTCATAGTTACTCAAGTTCCTCTCACCAGAAGTTCAGCCAAAGGATCTTGTTTGCTACTGATTCACAAACAGCACATAGCTGTTCCACAGCAGCAAGGCTTAGTGCTCTCATAACCATGATGATTTAGATATATGACTTGAGAAAATCCTCATATTTGAAGGCTTTTCCATTTTTTCCCCACTTTATCAGCTTGGCCTAAAAAAAAAAGGAGGCACTTGACTCTACAAACCTTGTCTTAGTAGGCTCATGTTGGTTTGGTTTCCCGCCTAACGTGAGCAACAGACCGAGGGGTAGCCAGGAAGCTTCACCCGCAAAAAAACAGACAGTACTGAATTGTCCTGAATGACCTGTCTGCTTACACTTTCTATGGAGCAGGACCACAGGAGCATTTTGGCATTTTAGAGCTGCAGGAGGAGAAGGAAGAGCACAGCCTGCAGAATAAATGAGGCCCATTCAGCCGTACATCACTCTGAGCCCAAGTAATTAGAGAAGAATAACATTCTGTTTCAAGTAGTGGAGTTGTGATCCTTCCGAAAAACCCCCCAAAACCCCATAGCCATTAAAATCTACAAATAAAGAATGACATGAGCGTATCCCAAAGCACCTTGCATTTGGTGAGAGAGGGGTCTGCACTTTCAAAACAACAGCAGCTTGTCACTTGTGACACTGCAGGATTCCCATAAATGGAGGACAAAAGCAAAAGATGGTTGACAGAAATTGATAGCGACAGGCGATATTCCTCTGTGCTGAGAAATGCATCATGAGTGAATGTGGAAGACAAAAATTCCAAACATAAAAAGGATGAGAGGCAACCACTTACATGAATAAAAACACAGACACAAAAAATGCTAGTTTCTGACTTGAGAGCAGATTCTGAAACATTTTCCCATTAATTTTTAATCAACAATTTCCTACAATATTTCGTAAGTACTTCAAACTGTCACAAAAAGCTATTAAAACCCTCAAGACTATGCATACATGCATGCAACTGTAAAGATTATGCATTAGTTTTCTATTGTAGGTACCTTTCTGATTTGCTCCAAAAGACAGCAATAGGGAACCAAGTCCTAACATCAATGAATTTAATCTATTTATATCCCAGTGTAACTGAGGACAGAAGTAATCAATTTACTTCAAATTGATTACTTCTACAACTCATCAGGTGGCATTTATGTAGACAGACTTGACTCGATGAGACAATAATTCTAAAAATTAGATGGATTTTAAGTAGAATGGCAGGATTGTTTCCTAGGCATTCCAGCAAACTTGAAGTTAATAAATCTGTTTAATCGTGGTGTGAAAGTTCTCCTTCATCATAATTTGGCTGTATTTGAAGCTCTCCACAGACTAACAGCTTCTCTCTATATTTAAATTAAGTCTAGACCGCCAGCCTTCACAGAGTACCATAATTTAAGAGGCTGTCATTGCTACTACAATTGATACAGAGAGGAGGAGGAAGTTAAAAATTCTTAGTGAAGCAACACTAGTATGAAGTGACATGCCTTAACTCAAAAAAAAAGGTAAATTAATGTTTAAGGGCATATTTTCTAAAAGACAAAAAAAGAAGAGCTATTTTGGAACTCCCAAAACACCAGGAAATAACATCAAAGAAGGATAAGTAAAGCAAGACAACAAAACATCAGGAAAATACCAATATGTTAAAAAAAATTTCTATGGGCAATGGGAAGTTTCAAACTAAATATAATCCATAGTTAACACACAAAACACCGGGGTGAATTAATAAGGACGGGTATAAATCAGATTACTTGGAGAACAGAAGTTGCCACTTCTCAGCTGAGGAGCCTTTTGCCAGTGTCTGATGCTCAGGAAGGAAAATTTAAACTCTGTGATTTACATCAGTGTTCTGGAGTACTGCACCACAGACAGAAATGTTATTCTAGATCATGTCTATTAGTTTAGATCTCACAGACCATAAGGCTGATAGCTCCTCTGATGTCATCCTAGCTGTGCAACAGAAGATAATATCATTAGCTGAACTATCATTGCATATACGTCTGCTTAGGAAAATCAAGTTAGGCTGCAATAGAAATTTTACCAGAGTAAGAAAATGGGAGTTAGTGTAACACATCTAATGTATTCTGTGAATGCAGAACATTAAAATATTATCCTTAGTCATATAATATGACAGAGAGTGTTACAGGTTAATTATATGTTATGTATCTCCAGCTTTGACATTACTGACAGTAGAAGAGTCATAACTGTAGCATTAAAGATGTAGTCATGCTGTATAAGCCACTAAATTAATTTGTATTTACACAGTATTAAGATCTTCTGGGAAAACACTGAGAGTTATTCTTTCCTTAAGAGATCTAGAATCTGATTTTAAATGGTATGTCTTTACATAAAATAATTTTATTTTTATTAGACACACTTTGTAAGGAATGCTAAACGGAAAAAAAATAAGTGGTAGACATTTGACTTCTTACCAGTTGCTGGTTATTATAACACCATAGAATTATTCCTGACTGACAGTAGTGGAAGTGAGAACTGGACCTGTTCAGAGCTGAATTTGCTTTGGAAAAGTGTATCAGAGAAAAAGTAATAATTCCAGTGTGTGATTTACATGGCATTGTCATTGTTTTACCTGTGCTAAGCCATTGGAGATCTGTGTACTATTTCTAAAAAGTATGCAAAAAAGCTGCCAGGAAATGCAAGTTCAAAGGTATTATAGGTAGCATAAAAGGTATTACAGGTGAGTTAAACTACGAAAGGGACTATACCTTCAGTAAAAATAATTTATGAATCTACAAGCCAAAAGCTACTGAAAATAGCCACCTTTAATGCAACAGTAGACACATTTATTTAAACAAACAAACTTTTAGTTCATTGTAATTCACTAAATACTACCGTTGTCAAGGTTAGTCTAATTGACATTTACCCATTTGTGTCCTGGCACAAGTTTCACAGTGTGGCCAGATCAACCTTAATCAAGAAGCTACTACAAAGGGACTAATAATCAACTCGGAATTTTCCCCTGAACTTCTCTTATCCTTGCTCTCATGCTTTTTCCCAGCAAACAGAAATGGGATGTGAACACCCCAGCAGTATGAAGCTACATTGGTCATATACTGAGACAACTTCCAGTCACAGTAATGCATGACTCACCTACAGGTAGAGAATTAAGCTGTGCAAACAGGACAGCTCTAATAAGAGTACTGAAAGTTCAAGTAAATTCATACAGTGAATTCTTTATGGATGAGAGAAACCTCTGATAGATACATGTGATACATAAAACCTAATTTATAATCACTGAACAGAAATCAAGTAAGCAATAATGGCAGAAAAACTTCCCATTCCCTTAGGAGCATGAAGTGCAGGGTTTAGTGGGTAAACCAGCAACACTCCATGCAAGCACGCA